ACTGGTGATTAATTCAACGTGGAACATAAATTAATATCTGCGCCAAAGGGTATTCAAGGCTTAGTGGGAAAGTGGATCGAGTAGGTGTGTTTTGACATGGGGAACTAAGGTCCACATGAAAGGACAAGGTGATGGCCGCATTGGGAGATATGCAGAGTTTTCTATGAAAATGATCCGATGACTTGTGAAACATGGGACTGAGCTTAATATGCTGTAGATCTAAAGCACCAGAGTAGAAGCAGCATAAAAAAATGGAGCAATAGAATTGCAGGTAGGGCGTTTACCTTGCAGGAGACCAATGTGGGTGGCCCCACCTTAATAGTGAAGAATATACCTGAGTGAGATCATAGAGAACAGCAGAGCTATGATCCTATGTTTCCATAATTCCTTATGATATCAATGGGAAGAATATCATTCTAGTGCTGAATGAACACACAATAATGAATACAATGAAAGACAGTGAAGATTCTGTGTTCATTAAAAAATATATATATATACGTGTATATATGCATATATATACACACGTACATACACAGATATATATCTATGTCTATATCTATCTATTGATATTTATCTTCTTCTCTCATCTCATTATTTCTGGCTATCTTTGACATTTAAAGCAGGTTTTGAGGATGAAGATATAAAGAGGCATTAGAGACCATATATGGCAATTCTACTCTCTGATCCTAAAATAATGTTTCAACAGTCTGTACTGCTACTTATAATGTTGAGAAAACCTAAGTTAAGAAAACAAAACTATTAGTCCAAGACTTTATTTTTATTTAGATCTACCACAACTAAGGTGTTCCTATCTGAACTCACTTCAGATTTGCATATTTATGGTCATGTCTTTTTTTACTTGATATTTTATAAAACTGAAAGAATGTTCAGTGGATTAGTGAAATAGAAACTCTGAATAAAGAACCAGTTTTGAGAAAATTATTAGTTTCATAGTGAAAAGAAAACATACATTGGTGGAAAAAAAGATAATAAGAAGATCATATTATCTTACCAGTAGTGATAATAGGTAGTAATTTCTCAATTTCAACCAGCATATGAATTATCAGGTGATTTTGGTGCTTTAGAAAACATGCTTAAACAATACATTAGAATAGATGATCAGCCTACATATTCACAGTCTTTGGGAAAAAAATGCATGAGAGAATTTCAATAACTCAACAGTAATTCCATATTCTCTGGATTGTTTCAAACTACAATGCCTAAAAGGAAAGAGAGAGGGAAGAAGAAAGGATGTGAGGGAGTAAGAAAGGGAGGAAGGAACAGTGAGGGAGGGAAAGAGAGAGAGGGAAGGAGTGTGAGGGAGGAAGAGAGACGGAGGGTGATGGGGGAGAGAGAGGGAGAGAGAGAAGTGGCTGCCATAGTGGTAGACTGGGGGGGTGGTCGTGGGGGTGGGGGGAAACTGGGACATTAGTGGTGCGAAATGTGCACTGGTGATGGAATGATTGTTGGAACATTGTATGACCAAAACCCAGTCATACAGTTTCCCCTGATAAAGTAGAGAGGAAATACATAAATTGATATGATAAAGAAATCGGCATGCGGTAGAATTCATTTGAAAGGCATTGACTTATTACAAAATCTGGTTCAATGAGAGTTGCAGCACATTATTTATCTCTAATTTTAGGTAGCATAATTATTCGTGAATCACAGCATGTCATTCAAAATCCCATTTTAAGTGTCTGTCATTCGCTTCTTGAGAGTTATTCATTTCATGAATTTTTTGGGTCCCCTCTCTCTCACTAAATATTTTATTGAATTGCCACGAACCTTCATCAGGGGCAATTATTATTTCCTTTTGACTTACTTGTTCATTTTCTTTCATCCCTTATAGATTCTCTCCAGTATCATGTAATTCTGAGATTGTTCATTAGTTTTTTTAAAATTTTGAGGAGATAAAATATCTGACAGAAAACACATAGTGAGAGTCAAGGGAAAAGTGTTTCTTAACACCTAAGGGAAATGATGTTATTCTATATTTGAACTTACCACAAAGCGGAAACAAGTCATTCTCTAGAATACTACTAACCAGGAACCAACACTCCTAAGTATATACCAGACAAAAGATGAAATAAAAAAATAATTAATCTCAGGGCTGAAGTGATAGTATAGTAGTACAGAGGTAGGGTGCTTGCGGAAAAAGAGTTCCCTGAGCCCACCTAAAGTGATCCCTGAGCACAGAGTTAGGAGAAGCCCTGAGCACTGTAAGGTGTAAAGTCCTCCAAAAATACAAACAAAAACCAAACCAAACAAAAAGAATCATTTGATTAAAAAATAATTACTGTAACTGAGCACAAAGGATTGTTGTGTCAGAGTTATATGATTTAACACAGATACATCTATAGGATAGTAAATATTGTATGCTGAACAACATAGGAGGTAAAAATAAATATGGAAACTTTTAGAAGGTGACTATTTTCACATAGCAAATCTATAGCAAAGAAATGAAAATCTATTATCGCCTAAGAATCCCTTTAGGGGAAAATCTAAAACTTCTAGGCTCTTCTCTACAAACCCATGCAATCTCAGAATTTAACATTGCTTTCTATACACGGTGACCTGTAGGGCTAACAAGATAATTGTCCTTAGATGCAACTTTAAGTATATTATTTCTAAATTATACACAGGTCTTTCATTTCATCCCTGTTTTAATCTGCCAGATAAATCTCTCTTGATTCTTCAAGACACCCTTTAATAATCATTTAAGATGTTTTCTAAATTATGCTTTATCTCAAGACTTCTGAGGAAATAAATTACAACTCCTTCCATTCTGTTCTAGGGTATCTTTACACATCACTACTTGGTCCTTCTGACATTGCTATAATTATTAAATGCTTGGCTCAGTATTTTATTTCTATCACTATTTCTAGAACTGTGAACTCATATTTATTCATTTGTTGCTCCCTGGATGTCCGCTAATGAATTTAATACATGTTGGCGAATAAATTTCATTATTACTAATCACTGATTTGATTTTTTAAAAAATGGATTCGCTACTTTCAGTGGAATATTTTTCTACTTAGGATGGTTCCTTGAAGGTCCAGTAGTACTGGTGGTAGATTTTCTTGCTTCATTTGTTACCTCTTTGCCCCCAGAGCCAATCCCCCAGGGAAATCTGATGCATGATTTTTGAATATCCTCTTTCTTTGGTGTCCTTTAAAGCTGTTACTGTCATGGTCCCCCTGTTGTTCATTGATTTTCTCAAGCAGCCGCCAGTAATATCCACCAGTAACATCTCCGTTGTGAGACTTGTTGTTACCATTTTTGGCATATCGATTACCTCCCGAGGAGCTTGCCAGGCTTGGCTGTGCAGGCAGAATATTCTCATAGCTCGCCTGGGTCTCTGAGAGGGGCAGGGAATCAAACCTGGATCAGCTGCCTGCAAGGCAAATGCCCCACCGGCTATGTTATCTCTCTGGCCCTTTAAAGCTATTTGTATATAAAAAAATAATGGCATAGTGATCCTTGATTTTCTATTCAATTAAATGACATTGAAAGTTTCCGTTGCATATTTTGCCCCCCCCCCCCCCCCGTCTTTTTCTCCACAATTTTCCCATTAATGTATATCTTTGTTCTGAGTACTTATACTTTCCCGGATAAACAGGTTGTTTGCAGTGAGAAATCACTCCATGCTGATACTGGAAACGTATCCAACTTGCATTCTACTACCTTGATAAGTTCTAGTAACATTCTGGCTCATTTAGCAAGGACTACAACCTTTAGAACCGTTTCCTCTTGTGTATGGCTTATGTAAAAGCTTTTCCTCCCTCCTTTCAATTCCATTCCAAGGATCAGAGTGAATATAAACTCTGTCCCTTCAAGGGCCGATTTCCGAATTTTGTACTTTGTTAGATACAATGTAAAAATTAATTATACTTGATTTATTAGCAAATATTCTCCATCACATTTTGTTACATTATAAATTCCTATATAATAGACTTGCTTCTTTGGGCATATTATCTAACCTACTGGTTATCAAACTGCTAAGAGCAAAAACAGATTTCTTTTGGGGAGGGTAGGGTGTTGGGCCACATCTAATAGTTCTCAGGCTTACTCCAGTTTCTGTGCTCAGAGGCTAGTTCGGAGGTGTTTAGGGAACCATAAGTGGCGCTAGGGACTGAATCAGCGTGCTTGCAAACGCCTGAACCCCAATACGATCTCTCCTCCCCTAGAAACGAATGACTTTGTGAAAAGTCACTGGTATGTAGTGGGAATTGCATTAAGCCGGCGTCAGGAATCTTAGTTCTAAATTCTTCCACTCAAACCATTTGCAGGAAAGTTCTCGTATCTCTGAAATGAAAACCAAACCTTTAGGGATGTTGCGAGAATTCAATGAATAGTGAAGAAGCATTATGCCGTTCTAATATACCATGCAGTATATGATACTTTTTGTTTTTCTTGGGTCCACACTCAGAGAGACTCAGACCTTACTGGGGCGGTCTGTGCTCAGGGATCACTACTGGAAGTGCTCAGGGACCATTTGTGGTGCCGTGGATGGAGCTTAGGTTGGTGGTGTGTAAAGCAAGTACTTTACCCGCTGCACATTTTTTTTTTGGTCAGATCTTAAATTCTTTTTTTTTCTTCTTTTTTGGGGTCACACTCTGCGATACACAGGGGTTACTTCTGGCTCGTGCACTCAGGAATCACTCCTCGCGGTGCTCAGAGGACCATATGGGATGAGGGGAATCAAACGCGTCGGCTGCGTTCAAGGCAAACGCCCGCCACTCTGTACTATTGCTCCAGACCCAGATCTTAAATTCTATTGCAGAGAGGACGTTGTGTACAATGATCAGTTGGTAAGCGCTACCTGAGTGTAGAAACAGTTTGGGTGGGTCCTATTGCCTTCAGTCTATAAAGGAATAGCTGCTGAGTACTAGGAAGTGTGTGTGTGTGTGTGTGTGTGTGTGTGTGTGTGTCTTTAGGTTACACACTGTTACATCCTGTGCCATTTCCGGCAGGCTCTTTTCACCTGCTTACCAAACATGACCTCCAATTTTATTTCTTGCTTTCTTAGCGTGCTCTCCAGAATTCCTCGCCGTCAATTCCCTCTTCCACCTCGCCGAGGCAGCGGTGCTACCTGGCCCAGCCTTGCTTCTCCACCTCGCCAGCCTTTCTTTCCCGCGAGCTCCTTTTCCCCTCTGCTGGCTGCCAGGGAGAAGCACAGCGCTTGGCACGGCCCCAGACAGATGCCAGCCCGACTCCCTTCCCCCCCGCGCCCTCTTGTAGCCAAACCATCACCTGCCAAGGGCCGGCGGCTACTGCCCCGCCGTGCCCTGGCGCACGCGGCCGAGGCTGGCGCCCTTCCTGGCAACCCCGTCGGAAGTTCGGCGCCCGCAGCGCGACCAGCATCCCGCCAGTATCCCCGCCAGCATCTCACCAGTATCTCCGCCCGCATCCCCGCCAGCATCCCTGCCCGCATTCCCGCCAGCATCCCCGCCTGGGCCTGCAGCTCCCCGGGCCCGGTCCGCGCGCAGCCGCGTCCTCCCGCGGGGACCCGGATCCTGGGGCTTGTCCTCGCCCCCCACAGCGCCCCTCCCCCGCTGCTCGGGACTGAGGTTTCCAACACCAGCACCACCTCGCCCACCTTCCCCGGTGTGAACGCGATCACAGAGGGGAACCTCTTTGGAAATGTGTCCATTTCCTTCCCGCGCCCCGGGACGACTGAGCGCCCCGAGCCCCCAGGAGGGGAGGAACAAAGCCCAGCTCCGCGGAGACACCCCCCCCCCCACCAGCACCCCACCCCGTCCGTGCAGATGCTCACAGACCTACACCATGAAATGGGGGCTGGGGTGACGGGAGGGCGAATGCGGGGTGGCCCACTCGTCTAGGGGGTCCCTAAGAAAGTTTGGGACACTCAGGACTGGCCGTGTCCAGCTTTCCAAAGTGGGGAGCGTGCTCAAGCACGGGGGGTCGCGGGAGGGCGGGGCCGGGCCACGTTAGGGTCCGCTGGCCGCGGGAGACGGTGCACGGGTGGGACCGGGCGACCCCGCGGTCGTGTGAAGCCCCCAGTCCTCCCCTGGGCCTGCCCGCCGCTCCCCCGGGGGTCTGCGCCTCTCCCGGCCCCGGACGGTCTGGGGGCTGCCATGCAGCTGCGCGCGCGCGTGCGCGGATGTATGAACGCATCTGTGTGTGCGTGTGTGCGAGGAGGGGCGTGGGCGTGTGTGCAGCGTGCGCGCGCGTGCATATGTGTGTGCATGTGTGTGTGCGCGCGCGCGTGTATTTGTGTGTGCATGTGTGTGTGTGCGCGCGCGCGCGGGCCCAGGAGGGTCCTGAGCTCGTGTGCAGTGTGTGCGCGCGCGTGCGTGTCTATATGTGTGTGCATGTGCGTGCGTGAGTGCATGTGTGCGTGTGTGTGTGCGCGCGGTCGCGCGCAGACGAGGAGGGTCCTCGGGCTCTTGTGCCGTGTGTGCGCGCGTGCGTGAAGATCTCTGTGTGTGCAGGCGTGTGCGTAGGTATGTGTGTGTGTCCGTGTGTGTGTGCCTGTGTGTGTCCGTGTGCGTGTGTGCGTGCGCGCGCGCGGCCGAGGCTTGTGCGCGCGCGCGCGCGGGTGCGCGGCGCGGGCCGGGAAGGAGGAGTTATGTAGATCACGGATGAAGCCGTGGAGGGGCGAGGCGGGGAGGGCAGGAGCAGCCGAGCCCCGCGCCAGGAGCGGCCCAGGCCCTGCCCGCACAAGCCGGCGGCGGCGTTGGAGGACGCGGGCGGGCGCGGGCAGCGGGAGCCGCGGGGGCGACGGGCCCGGGGGACGGTCCATGCCAGCGGCCGCGGCTCGGCGGGGAGCCGTCTCCACCCCTTCCCGGCGGCGGGTGAACCTGCGGGCGCCTTCCCCACCCCGGCACTTTTTTTCGGAAGGAAGCAGGGAGGGAGGGAGAGGGGAAGCGACCGAGGGGAGCTCGTCCATCCGCTGAAGCGCAGTTCACTATGATCTTACTCGCACCCTGCACTGCAAGACGGTTGGATTTCGTGCATCACTCGGGGCTCTTCCTCCTGCACACCCTGATCTGGATTGTCTGCGCGAGCGTCTGCGGAACGGAGCAGTATTTCAATGTGGAGGTAAGAGTCTGCGAGCGCTTTCTGCCTCCCCCACTCCCACCACCAGCCTGGGCTCTGCTCTGAAACATTTTTTTTTTTTCTTTCCTGGAGTCTGAGTCCGGGGATCCGCGTCGCCCGGAGCCGCTGGGGGAACCCGATACATTGTTTCCTTTGCAGCAGCCAAGGTTCCAGTTGAGTTTCCCTGTGTCGGAGGTGATGGATGCGCTTGAGGTGGGAATCCGTTATCCCCGGCAGCACAAAGCAGGATGCTGCGCGCTCCGGAGATACAATTGTAGTCAGTTCATGATTTTTTTTTTTGGTCCCCATTAGGGGAAGAGCTGAAGTCCTCCCATAGAGCAAACGTGGGGTTCCATCAGAGCTGCTGGAGTTTGGGATGGAGATACTGCTGGGGGTGGGGTGGGGGGGATGCAGAATCTATCGCTTGCCCTCCTGTGCCGCCTTAGTATTGTTCCTGAGATCTTTCCTTGTTTTGTACCTAACAAAGGAGTTTAAAAAAATCAAAGCATCCAGAGGAGAGCATGGGAATGCTTGATGTGTTTAATAACACTGTGACAAAACACTGACGAGATGGTCTCTTTGTCGCTTAGACAGAACTTAATACACCGTAACTAGATCTGGCTTCATAGAGGACGTGAAATCCATCTCTTTTGAACCGTCTTTTCCCCTCCCCCGCCAAGTGAAAATAAACGTGGCCCCATGTAATAGTTCCGAGGTGTGTTTTTAATTTGAATTTACACACTCATGACAAATGGGGGAGGGGGGTTACACTGTCATGTGCTTAACTTTGATAGCGTTGGGAACCGGCAGACACAAAGCAAAAGGGAACTTAAGGATAAGTACTTGTCAGACCTCTGCCAAAGAACTCTTCCTATCATCAACTCCTCACTAAAACCAGAGCTGTGTAATAAATCCGTGGCAGTGTGTACACCTGGGCTCTGTCACCAGTTTGTCATGGACACAGAGAAATGCAGACCCTCAAAAGTCTTTCTTAGTAAAATCTGCCCCTTTGGATGAGTCCATCAGTCTCCTGACACCTCGGAAGAATTATGATTAAGACCAAAGTGGATTTTTAAAATACTGTTAATCCTTTAAAGCTTACTGTCATTTTGTTGGGAGTGTGTGTTTACACAATAGCAGGACCTGTTGCATTGTATTTGAATATGTTTCATGTAGCAGATTTATGTCCAAAGTATGCATAATACATGCCATGTGTGAGGGCACATTCTGAATATAACTCTGTTTATATAAACCATTCTCAGGACTCCATGTAATGGAAGTGATGGTGGGTGGAGAAACAGAATTGTTGGAAAAAAGAACTATTATCCAAAGATTTAAAGAATTTTGCAGATGTTAAGCCTGATTATATTCTTCAAGACCCCCCCCCCCGAAAAAACCGAAGTGCTTAACCCTTTGCCAAATACATTACTTTTTCTGAATTTAAAAAATAAAAGGTGGAAAGATGAATTTAAAAGTTGACTTTACATGCTGTCAAAGGTGAAATTTTGGAATTAGATACTAGAGACAAATTTTGCTCTACCTAACATTTAACTCAAGAGAAAATTTAATATTGGAAAGGAAGAAAAATGTAGTGTCTAGACGAGCAATCCAAGTATCGAGTTGTTACTTCTAATGTTATAAATTGAAGGGGCTATCACTTCTGATTGGTGTGGTGGTGTTGGTGGTGAGGTGTGTGTGTGTGGAGGGGGAGGGTTGAGTTTGAAAGTAAGGGCTTGGTTTTCTCTTGGTCCAAGTGAAGAGGAAGCCAGAGCCTATACTGAGAGCTAACTTCTTTGGGAACATACTATGATTGGCTTCAGAAATTATTAGGTAGTAGCAATGGTTTGATTATTTGATTTCCTTCTAGGGGCTAAGTAAACATTTTGTTTTGCTTCTTTATGTGATGCCCTCGGTCACTTAAGATTATTTGCAAGAAAAACTTATAACCCTACAAAAAATATTTTTGAATTTTCATTGTCACTTCATTATGTAAAAATAGTTCATGGGAAGACGCTATTTGGTCATTTTTAGAGTATCTAAGTTATTATATATATATCTATATACATATATATATTGCACAACAGGAAGGTTTAAAGATGAAAGATAAGACACATTGGATTCAGAGGAGAATTTGCAATGAGTTTGACTAGATTATTCTCCATGGCTCGTATTATTGTCAAAGGCATTTTTGAAAAGCTCTTGAGCAATTCTTTAGAACAGTGTAAATGCTTCTTCCTGTGTAATGATCACCACTAACATTGTTTAACCACAACAGTTCAACCTGCTATTGAAAACATAGGGAAACAAGTATTTTTTTTCATATGAATGTCTGCCTCATTCATTTTTATTAGGTTTTTTTTTTTGTATAGGAAGCACTAATGTTAAGAATGGTCCATCACATCTTTCTTCTCTAGAAAAGGCACTCACGTTGTGTTCCTCATAATTGGTTTCAAAACATACACTGGGAATGATTGAGTTGATTGACTCTCAAGGACAGACTTGAAACAGGAACGCTATCAATCATGCATGATGCTCGTATGAGCATGAATTTTTTTCTAGCATGCACACCAAGTTATTAGAGTTGGAAGGAGGCTTCTTAGAGGTGCTTTTTAGGCAGTCAACTGAGATTACAATGATTTATCCACAACTGACCAGACCCCTTTTCCTTATTCATCTTCTAATTTAAGGTTTAGAAAGCCTGTTACCCCCTGGAGGATGGTGAGTGCTTAGAAGTATTCATGTTAACCCTTTCCTGTCTGATATTCTTAGACAAAAATATGAAGAAAATGCCTGTTATTTTTAGCACTTGACATTTTTTCCAGATCAGAGCAAGAGATAGGCTGACTGAAGCCTGTTCCAGAGAAAGAAAGAAAGACTGCATTTGGTTTGTTTGGGTTTGGGGCCACACCCGCCGGGTGGTGCTTGGGTTTACTCCTGGCTCTGTGCTCAGGACTTACTCTTGGTAGGACTCAGGGGACCATGTGTGGTACAGGAGACCATATGTGTACTGGGAAATAGAACCTGGGTTAGCTGTGTGCAAGGAAAGTGGTTTGCCTGCTGTACTATGTCTCTGCCCATGTTTGTTTTATTTGTAGAAGCAAAGGAACATCACTTGGAGCTAAGAAAGGGTCAGCCTGTGCCAGTAGTATGACTGTAAAAGCAATGCCATGCATTTTTCTCCTTATATAGTTCAGGTAGAATACTTCTACGCTAAATTCTCAGTGTACATTTCTTTAAAGGCTTGCCCCTCTTTTTAGGAAGTGAGTCTTCCAGTATATATTCATTCACATAGTGCAAAGAATGTACATTGCTAATATTCACTAAAAATCACAGATTGATGCCATTGGAGCACAGTCTGAATCAGTAATGTTGATTGGCCAATACAAGCTACATTACTATGAGAATGAGGTTGTAATAGCTATACTTACAAAAGTATTTAATCTCCAGACTAATTTTCGTATTTTAGTGATAATTTTTATAATTTTGAACGCTCTTTCTCGGTCTCTCCTACATTTCATTTTGCTTTGTTTTACTGCATTTGTTTTGTGAAATTTGAGCTACATTATACTTCATGATAGTAAACTTTGTTAGCTTTGATAGCTTGTCTTATGTTAAATTAATGAATAGCACAGTTTTATTGTTTTCCAGACAATTTTCCAATAAGAATTCTTTAATGGTGAAATAAAAATATGTAGTACTCTGAATAATACATAAAGGCATAAGAAAATCATCCATTTTTGTCACCAAAAATCCTGGTTAAACAACAGTTGATTTTTGTTACTTAAATTAAAGGCAGAAAAGAGTTTCTGGATTTAGTGGATATTTTATGATAAATACTTTGAATGAAGAGTACAACCATTTTCTATCTTTTTCTTGCAATATCTTTTCTCTAATTGATCCACATTGATTATTCACCCTCGTTAGACTCACCAGCGGCATTGTTATCTTGTTTATAAATTTGGCAGTAGTTGTTTGTGATGCATTTCAGAAATCAAAGACCATATTTTATAGATTTTACAATTCTGTCCCGGGGCCAGTTTGCAGATCATTTTTCTGGGAACATGTTTTACTTCAGCTGCTCGTGGACAGATTGTGACCTCATGATCTGGTCAGCCTCCCTGAGTAAGGAGAGCTCTGTAAGCACATCCCAGAAAGCGCCATCGTATCAGTCAACGGGATGACTGCATGACTGACTCATAAACGTTTAAGCTCCTTTGAGATTCTGAGCTCTGTGGACTGAGGACTTCAACGCTGGCCATGAAACCCCAGTGCTGAATAAGACTCAGGATTCTCAGCCCCATGGGCCACACCTCATGCCTTTCTCTGTTCACAGTGGCTTGGTCAGGTTGCCCAAGTCTATGGGAATTCAAGAAAGTCTTAGAGCTGAGATTTGCTCAAATGATGGATGGTCTCTTGATACCCACTTATGAAATTCAAAGAGAAAGACCATCGCAGGCCACCCTCTTCAACCTACCTGTCATTTCTTTTAACCTCTTTTTTCTCTCAAGGAAGGAAAAGAGCTGGGTCCAGTTTTTATATCACTGGAGTTTGGTTTTAAAGTAACACACCTAAATTTTTCAGTTTTTTATTATTGTGGTCTTTCAGGTTATCATCATAAGGAAATTTCAACTTTCTTGTTTAGTGATATCATTTATTTGTAACTGGATGAACTCATAGAAGTTAAATGCATGAGTTGACCTACTCCAGCTATTCAAAGTGTACCTCTTCAGAGTGTTTAGTAAATGCTACTTGGAATAATTTTGGAGCCGCGAGGAAAAAAGCCATTGAACATATAAATCCATTAGTTAAGCTTATCCATTGTCAAAACAGAAGTACTTATTTTTTATGTGCCTTCAGCAATTTTCTGACCCAAAAACATATATATATATATATATATATATCAAGTAGAGTTAGCTATGTTACAATTATTTTCCGTGGTGATTCATTCTAAATATCTGTGAATGTAATTATACCCATCAATTTTATTGTTAAGTAATATGTAT